AATATTCAACAAAGAAAAAATAAACCAAAGAGACTGGAACTTTTTAGTCAAATGAGCAAGAAATGTTTGCAACTGCATACATTTTTTTTTTACCAACAAAACAAGTGTTTCAAAAGATTGCAAGGAAAACCAGTTAACTTTTTACTCCATAACAACAATGATAAACAAGTTTGACATCAAGAAAATGTGTATATGTTTAATCAGACTTTTGGTGGCAAAGTAACATGCCTTGGTGGCAAGACCAATGAGTGGTAAACTCACTGATGGCAAGTCTTCCTGGTGGAAAGGTGACTGTATACCAAGTTACAAAGACACACAAACTAAATTAAGCAAAATGCAAAAAGCATGAAGGCAATAATGTAATCCCTGGTAATATGCCCTGTTGAGGGTCAGTTGTGTAAGGAGTGCAGAGTTACTGATTTACAGAGATGATCACCTCTTGGATGATAGATAGATAGATAGATAGATAGGTTACGTTAATAAGTTCATTTTGCAGCACCAACAAAGTTGTGAAAGCATTGTTTTTTTTACACAGAACTCAAGATTTTCTGGTTATAAATCAAGAGACATGGTACTTTAGGTGGGATCAAATTCAGAATAATTCAGTAGGAACTTACGGTAACTTGTTCTTGATTTACAGGTGACACAGAGCTATCGTCAAATGAGTACCACTTAGAGTCTTTGCAGTTCTTGGCGTAGGCTGTGTCTGAAGGTAGTAAGTAAGTATATCACCTAAGTTAGAACGACTGGAAATCTACTTCCACTGATTAGAGTGGTTATTAGACGTGGTGATTAGACTTAGAGTCTTTGCAGTTCTTGGCGTAGGCTGTGTCTGAAGGTAGTAAGTAAGTATATCACCTAAGTTAGAACGACTGGAAATCTACTTCCACTGATTAAACTTGTGGCCTAGTGAAAAAGAGAGTCAACCTACAATGTCCGCCTCCCATGCCTCCATAGTGGTTCTGTGAACAAAATAATAAAAATGTTAGATCTGTTGAGACAGTTGGACAATATACACAGCTGGCAAAAGTCCCGACTGTGTATATTTATATTAGAGCTTTACAGCAACAAGAAAATACCACACACACAAAAAAATTTTCTCAATGCCTTAAGATCTTCAAACATTATCTAAGCTCCTTTCTCTTGAGAAAATGGTATGCCATTGCATTCTCTAGTTGCTTAAACTAACCAATGAAAACATTCCATTTTATTTATTCAGTCATGAAGTCTAACAGAAAAAGAAAAGATTGTGTACAGCCAGGGTTGTTTTGATATATCATTTTTGGGGAGAGACATTTTGCCAAACAAGAAGATAACCAATGTCTATCTGAAAGTGTGCAACCTGTTGGACAGATGAAGCAGTGAAGCAAGAAGGACAGGATGAGGAATGACACAGAAAAGTTCTAAGCAGCTTGCACAGGATGTTGTCCCACTGCTCAACATGTTTAGCAATCAGATCAACTTTACCGTTCTGTCTGATGCTCTGCCAAATTTTTTTAAACCATTTTGTTCCATGTGCTTCATAAATTTGCAAGACTCATTTGGGTCATCAAAACATATATGCTGTCACTGTAACAGTTTGAAAACCTTTTTGTTTGTTACATTGTCACAGGTTCAAATCAGTAGCTATAGTCATCCAGTGAAGTGCTATATGTTGATCCACTCATTAATAGTCATGTTGAGTAAGTTTTCAATCAGGGCATTAGCTAATGAAACATAAAATAAACTGGCTTATAGTAAACTCCAACAAAAGAAAGTCTGGTAGGTGGCTGTCCTCTTATAATTTAAAATCTTTCTCTGTACTTCTCTCCTAACAGCAGATTACTTACTGAAACTGCAATTAAATCATAAATTGGACAAGGTTGATCTTTATTAATCACATAGGCAGACATATCAAGGTTTCTGAAAACAAAGAATGAAGGTAAAATTGTTACTTTGACCTTATGTGTTCAGTAATGTCTGCTATGAAGCAGCATAAACATTTTTCCTATAAATTCAATTAAAAAATCTACCACTAGCATTATCATCATCAGCACTGTATTATAATGATGGTGTTAATTATAATATTAATACCAGGTGCACTAAAAATGATGCAACAATTGTTTTTCATTCTTTCAGGATAATGTCAAGTCATTACTAAAAATCCAAGGTCTTTTCTCCCATGAAACTCTTCATCAAGATGGATTACCTATCTTCTTATTCAGAAAACAATGGCATTTTCTGAAGGAAAAAAGGACTTTGGACTTCTCTCCATTGCCCTTCCTTTTACTATTTGTCAGATTTCAGAAAATCAGCTGACAAGCCTAAAGAGCTTCTGCACTTGTCTCCTTAGCATAGCCAAAGCTACACCAACAGTCCTGGTACCATTTATGAAACCAACACAAATTTTCAACTAAATGGTCTCAGTCAACAACCAATACAAAGGTTTAAATGATAGCAATTGTGTATTTTGGGAAAATAGTCAACTACAGGAGGTACTCTCAAAAGGTTGAACTTAAGTAATATTTGTAGAGCTGCACGTCATGTCTTTTCACTCATGAAAGTCAGTAAATGACAACCGGTAAGGGGATCTGAGATTTTACTCATTCCTTTGATCAGTCTGTGTAACAAATCAAGTTTGGTCCTATGAGTCCCCTGGAGTGCAATACAATTATCATATTTATGACATTGATATACATTAGTAAATTTGACAAGAAGGTCTTCATAGGACATATCTAGTTTCCACAAATGGTCTTGTGTGATTTCCCCTGAAATTTAGAAGGGCGGATTAAAATGGATGCAAAAGTTAAGAGTGTGACCTCAGCTGTCTCATATGGCTTTCAAATTTTGTTGTCGAAAAACTAATGTCTTAATACTTATGCTAACAAAGCATACATAGGGTAAACCCTATGTAAGAGTACCATTGTATGTTCAAGTTTGACTTACCGTGAGTTCATCATCTCAATTCAAAATATCTATTGCATGGGCCTAGCTTTATTTTGTCAGCATCTTGAATATTTGTTTGTTAGTTCAATGTATTTGTGGAGACCAGTGGTCAAATAAACTCAAATCAAAGAGTACCTATGGCCAACTCATGGATAAATGGTTCTGAACTTGTAATTATGGTCTTGCAGCAATGCAAGGTTGCTCTTATCTAAAAAGATAAGCTTTCAGAAAGTCACAGAGAGATACACAATTGTGGTAACCATCCAACTCTGCAGAATATTCAACACATCAAGTCTACAATCAAAGTGCTATGTGAGCAAACTCGTGAATTGACACATGATTTTTTGGATTATGTTTAATGTTATCTGGTTTAGGGAATTTTGTGGTTGATTGTCATATCTAGAGTACGAGCAGTAGTTCAGTGTTCGCTAATGTAGCAAAGAAACAAAGTAACGTTGGGATAAGAAGGCATTACAAATGAAATGATCATGCTATTGCATTTGACAAGGGTGGATGATGTCATGTGTTTTAAACGTATATCATTTCTGTTTCTGGTTCAAAAGAAAGGATTGGAAGTAAATGTGGGTACAAAGTGGAAATTACTGTCTATCATTGTAAATATTAGAAAATCAAGGCAATATTGTCTTAATGAAAACATTAACGAATCCCTCTTTATCAAATGAGACAAACGGGAACGAGTTTTGAGTGATATAACTAAGCCAAGATTGCCACCGTCATTTTGGATCTCCGCCTGGGTAGATTTTAGTCACGTGCTAGGCACTGTACTGAATCAATAACAAGATAGAATTTCATTTCAGGCCTATTTATCAATTTTGTGGTGTATAACTTTCGCATTTTAGTAAGTAATATGTATTTTGAATCTTCAAATTGTCTCGAAACTTAAAAGAAAATTGTTCTTTAAAAATTCACTGAAAATCGGTAGCTAAAATTGTTTGTTTAGGTATTATTTGATTTTCGTGTTAACTTGTAATTTCGTTAGTCGCCGGCATCTTTTGTTGCTTCACACAGGAAAAACACACGATACGAAGCGTAATGATCGATTTTGTCCTCAATCTCACGCTGTAGCAGAAAAAGCTTTAGAGCATCTGTAAACTCCGAGCGCTTCGCAGTAAAGGATATTTTCAATGAATCCTCGGATTGTTTTCAAGTTCAAGGATTGTAAATTACAATTCTATGAAAAACGGAGGTTGTTCTGTTATTTCAGTGTAAATCCTTGCATGCCTGCCAGTCGCTGGCGCCGCTTGTTGAAACCAAAAACGAGGAAAAAAAAAACTCTTGTAAGATTATCATTGGCTTCTTTGTCACCCCACCACTATTCTTAGCAACAAAGGTCGCCATTTCGTTTGTTTATTGCTCGCCAAAAACTATCAAATGCACTCAAAAGCCTAAAATCGAAAAAAGGTTTACAGGAATCGATCAATCGAGCGAGCGCCATTCCTACATCGTATCTACAACTCGCTCTTGCGCATGCGCGCAATTCACGAGTTAAAGTGATAAAAATAGTATCCCGAGATTATCAAATTTTTGTTTACAAATTTGTCAAATTAAGAGACTGCAATCCAAATCTTTCTTTGCCTCCACACACCAAATTTCACAATTTTCCATTGCTATGTCATGTTTTGCTTCACACTTGCTAAATAAAAATTTGCAATGTAACCCAATGATCTTTGTCTACAGGGTTTTCTCCCACTTGCATCTTATAACAAACCTTTGAGATATATTAAAGTCACGAAAGAACAACGAACCGACGCCATTTATTCTATTCCTTGCCATGACTGTGATAACGAATACATCGGACAGACCAAACGCCAGTTTGGTACACGGTTAAAAGAGCACCAAAAAGCGGTTTTTCTTTGCAAAAAGGAAAATTCAGCTTTATCGGAGCATACTTGCCTAACTAACCATACAATTGGGTGGGATAATTCTAAAATTATCACCACTAATCGGCGTTACCACCAGCGCCTTTGTTTGGAGGCTTGGCACATTAACTCCGCCCACGCTCCTTTAAATCGTGACGATGGCGGTCTGCTTCCTGACGCCTATTTACACCTCGTCAGAAAAAAGGCCGCTAATTAGTGATCATATAAAAGGACCTCTTGTTGCAGCGTTCAGATCACCCCTGATGAAGGCACTAGACAGGAGTGTCGAAACGTTGGGTCTATGAATTGTAACTTCTTCGGTTACATTCATTAAATCTGCAAACCAGTGTAGCTTCAAACTATGTCCAAACCTTTGAGATTTCTGCCTCAAAATGAAAATACCTAAGAATGTATTTTATGCAACCACAAGTTTGCCTGATTGAAATAAAAGATAAGTGGTAATGAATTTCACAAGTTTTCTTTAGTCAGAAAAGCACAGTATTATTTTGTTTGCTTCTGATCAATCCAGCTGCCAATGTTTACATATTAAGTTAATTGAATTTAAGGTTATATTTAAAGCAACAATGCTTATTATAGACTGTATGAAAGACTCATTATCATTTTGGGACTAAGAAGGGAGCAAGAACAAGATATGTGGAATGTTAAAGAATAAGAAATCAACCATATTGATTACTTCACCAAGAACATGAGATCCTATTACATATTTGAGATGACATAACTATCAAAGCTGATCAAACTTTGTCAAATTTAAGATGCAGCTAACAAGAACATCCCTTCTAATTAAACTCCTGCCAATGGTGACTTGAAGTTTCTCTTTCAGTGTAAAGATGTATCAAACAAATTATTGCTATCATTTCAAATCAATAATCGAATTAAAATTCTATACACCATGTACCAAAAAATGTTTCTTTGAAAAGTAGAAACTAGGAAGAGAAAACAAAAAGTGAGGACAAGACAGAGATCTATAAGGGATTCTTCCTCAATCTATTGTGGAGCACTTTGAATGGTATCCAGTCAACTCGCCGACGGACCAACTCGCCGACGGACCGACTCGCCGACGCCAACTCGCCGACGTATAAAATCGAGTAGAGACGTCGGCGAGTCGGTCCTCAATCCAATACAACTTACTAGAAGTTAAACATACATAAAGGTAAACGATATTTAGTAAAAAAACACTGGTGAACATTGGTGAACATCAAACAGAAGCTTAAACATGAGTGAACATTGGTGAACATCACCAATGAATATAACAGCTTAAGACGCGAACGAGTTATTTTGTTGTCACAGTCCCGATAACTCGTTCGCGTCTGAAGCTGTTAGAGTCATTGGTGATGTTTATCTTACTTTATTCGTATTGAGATCCTTATAAACTTTGTTGCAAATAAAAAGAATTGCTTTTTACTAAAGATCTTGTCTAGAAAGCCAAGTTTTCTTTAAAAAATCTGAGAGATTGACATGATGTGTCTTTACGGTGTTGTTGTCACACAATAATTTGAATAATCACTTGAGCCATCAACGGACAAGATGTAGTTATCAAATCATTTGTATTTCTTAGACTTATAGTTAAGTTTCAAATTCATCCACCACATGCCAAAATGTTTGTACAAATGTCATGATGATTGAAGAGGAAAAGAAAAGAGAAAACTACACACAAGGCCTCCAAGGATTATCCATCAATTTTATTGTAGGCACCCCATCATTGCCATCAATCTGGTAGGAATTAATGGCTTTGCAAAATTACACGTAATTTACTCTATGCATAGAATTCTTGTAATCCTACACCTGCTGGTGCATTCACTGCAGACTTCTCCAACGAATTTTCAAGTTCTGCTAGTAGTGACAGGGATGCTTAAGACAAGGTTATTTTGTCTGCTATCAGTTATGTTGAAAAGCCACTTGAGCATTGTGAAAACTATGAAACAGGCAAAATATGTTGATATAATCTGGAGGGCTAGGCGACTTCATAGAAAGCTGCATGTGAGAATAACACCCTCTTCATTCATTGCTTTTGCACTTTGTTAGAAAGCTGATATTGTTTCCTCCTTTCCACTCAAGACTGACCCGAAATACCAATTGATTTTAAGTATAATTTTATATCCTTAAATTAGATGGTAGTTTCAGTTCTATTGAAAGCTAAATTATAACACTCACCTCAAAGGAAAAGAAACCACTGTGTCAAGTTTATCTCGCCAAAAACTTTACAAAAACAGAGAGAAAACTATTTGAGATCTATTACTAAGTCTAAGAGATAAATAAAGCAAATTCAAGCTGGTCACTTTCTGGCTTCAATAAAAACATGTTTCAAAATGTCAATGACAACCATAAGTTACCCTGCCCAGGGGAGTATCATCTTTGTAAAGAAAGATGTTTTCTTGTCATGACACCAATGTTGGACAATGCAAAAATTCTGAGTGTGCAGAGGAAGTTGAATCTCCAACCTTCAGATTCCACACTTCAATGTTCTAGCTTTGATCTAAAGAAAACCCTTGGGTGAGCTACGCCTAATACTTTTTTAATATTTTATGTGACCAGCATCCTGGTTATTGCTACAATCATCAATGCAGGAAAAGTCTTGTAAGTAAGTAGAATTTGTGACACAACTAATACCAGTTTCCCTTATTTAATTGCCAAGCACAGAATTTAACATCTTTCCTGTTCTTTTTCCCAATACAGTGCTTTTCACATTGAACATTCATCTAATATGAAGGATGCTATTGATTTGAATGTCACAAAATGAAACACCCTGATAAAATACATGGTAAAATCTGCAAACCTGTTGTATGAGAATCGTTTCAAGTGAACAACAAGGATTTTGGGAAGATTCCACAGGTCAAACTTCTTGGTGGCTTGTTGATGCTTCTCACAGGATGGACAGTACCTAGATAGTGTAAGAATATTGTTATTTCATAAGTTAACCACCAATAAGAAAAGAGTTTGATGGGTTAACAAATTTCAATCATTAATCAATCTACTTCATATTAAATTTACACAAACACAGGATTGTCAATCCTTAAAGTTTAAGGACTTACATTTAAGAAGAAATCATATTTATTTTAGCTTTGCAGAAATAAGGTTGAAATTGGGTTTCCTTATGCTGTTCTGTCTGTAATAAATTTTTTTTCTATTCACAATCCTCACACTTAGCTTGTTCAGCTTTTGATGGGAATATTATAAGCTGTAAGAGTCTCAGAACAAAAGAACTGCTACAAATATATATATTCAACTACATCTGTTTCCCTCTGATTGGATGTATTTGGCTGAGGCATGGGACCACTATGTTCATAGATGTACAATTAGGTCTCTCTAGCAAAAACAATTTTTATGGGAAAAAGAAGAGGCTGAAAAGGGTGCTTGCAGTGTCGATTTTGGTTGCATAACAAATTATATCTGTGGATCCTTAGGAGTGAGTTTCCAAACAGTTCTTTGACAACAAAATGGCTATTTAAAAAGTGGTCACTTGTGGGATTTGTTCACTTGAGAAAGTGGTCAGATGGATAAAATAGACCTTCAAATAAATGAAAATTAAGATATTTGCACCAAGTAGTACAGCAAAACAGGCAGATTTACTATTTAAAAAGTAAAGGTTGAGCTCACCATGGGTCATTTGCTCCAAGTTTTTCTTTAGACAAAAAGAGGTCAATGCAGTCATCCAAAGCAATGGAGTTTTTCTTTGATGCTGGCTTCTTATGCACACTTTGATGCTCATCAGATTCCTAAGAAAGTTGTATCTTCATGGGTTATATGAAGAAACTACATACTGAAGAAAAGGCCACTGGCCAGATCCACAATCTACCTCAATCTGAGACCCATTCCCTTTAAATAATGGATAAATAGTGCAGACTCTGTGCTCCAATGCTTTACCACTGAGCCACGGAAACTCAAGAGCAAGGCTCATTACAAAGTTCATATGATTATGACACACATCCTGCATACTGCTGAGATCACCAATGTTAATAATGTCATGTTTTGTAAATATAATAAAGAAGATGGTAGGTTTTAAGCTCGGAAAGAAACAGAGGAAGATGTTTTTTGTCTTGTCACAAGAGTGGTAGTGTGTCGGAACGCTGAGTCTGAAGGTCTGAGGTTTGATCTTCATGGAGACTGAAATTTTTTGTCCCACATTTGTGACAATACCATTTCTCTACCAAGCTTAAGACTTACCACCTTCCTTATTCTATTTACAAACATGATGCTATCAACATTATTGATCCATTTGTGACAAACCATTCATCTACCAAGCTTAAGACTTATCACCTTCTTTATTCTATTTACAAACATTAATATCAACATTATTGATCCTAGCAGTAAGTAGGATGCGTGTCATATATGAACTTTGTAATGGGCTTTGCTCACCATAGAGTCTTGGTAAATCAGAAGTAGAGCATTGGAAGGTGAAGGCCTGAGGTTTGATTCCTCATGGGGACTCAAGTTTTTCTTTGTCCCATACTTGTGTATGAAAACATCTTTCTCAACTTTTGTTTAGCTAAGGTATGAAAAATAAGAGAAAAAAGAGGGTTCCAGATGAAATATCTATGCCCTCTTGGCCATGAAGAAAAAATGTCCAAAGTATATGATTGGCTTCTGTCAGATACAATTCTAGAAAAATTATTGAATAGAACATTCAATGAATATATTAAATGAATAGCTAAAAATAACCTCAGCAAGTTGATCATTGTAGCAATTCTCCTTCATCTCTGAGTCCCAGTCCAGTGCAAGAAAGCAACGTGCTATTTATCAAAATCAAAATATATTAGTCAGCAGAGATGATAAAAGTGATAACGGGACATTTTGTTTGTGTTCAGCCAGAGGGACATTAAGAATGGAAAAGGAAATCATGTAGAAGACTACCTGTTTAAAGGTGTACTAATCAGGGTAATGATGTCAAAGGAAGGTGCTACAATGACAGTGGAAAGAGCAGAATCATTGGTTATGATTGTGACCTCAAATTTTGGTGATAGTCTACATTGAAATCCATAGAGATATAGAGTAATGTGCTTTAATCCTGTACTACTGACTAAATATACTTGACACTGCCATAAAAAAGATCATTATCACCTGTGAGTTTGGGGGGCTCGCCATCATCTTCTAAGACCTGGATATCAGTACTGCCATATGAGTTAACTAGTACCATGTTAAAGAGATACTTTCTTGCCTTTCCTTTGATTTGTGTTTTGATATCATTATTTTGATGAAGGTCAACAGAATCACCAATTTGTGAATTTTTGTTATCATCCTCATTGTCATCACCCTATAGATAAAATATGGGGTATCCAAAATAAACCACATTAATGGAAGATGTACATGAAAGGGATTGTGAAATAAATAGCAGAATAATGGTCAAAATACTATAGATATTTATCAATAGAAAGAAAACAATCTGACAACGCACATTGACATGCACATTTTGGTAAGCCTTTTCCAATTCTCTGTCCTCACAATCCTCTGTTTCCCCGTCTTCACTTTTGTCCTCATTCATTTCCACATCTATAAAGCAACAGCCAAAAACAAATTTAAAATATTCATTTGTCTTTATCAGTTTGTTGGACCCAGTAAAGTTAAACTTTTTTGGTGGTTATTTTAGGGGTAAGAGTTTATCCCTTGGTTTTCACCTTTACATTTAACTTTTCAGTTGTGTTGTGTAAACATCTTGCCTTGCTCATAGTTTTTTGTTTTTTTAGTGCTATAAAATTAATTCAATAAGTTTGCTGTGCTTTGCAGCATGGAAATTTTAGCATAGTGTAGGTAACTTTATCATATAAACTACTGTGTTATACAAGGATTTCCAGCCCTGAGAAAAGCTGGAACATCACATGTGATAAAATATATTTTTTCATGTGTGTTTAATATTGCCAATCAGCTGCTGACATGTCACTCGCCTTTTGCGCCACCTGGTCATGTTGATGAATAAACAGCAAAGCCTTTGCTGTTGTTTGTAAGAATTTTCTTGGAATATGGCTGCTAAAACACTAATATAAAATCCATATTGCTTACAGACAGTGATGTTCAAACTTTCCTAAAAGGGGAAGAAAACCAAAATACGAAAAGAAAAACTGAAAGTTAAGTATTTAGTGGCTTTGGTAATTGTAATTTCTCCTGGCTGAGGGTGAAAATCAACAACTGGATGAATTGCCACAGCTCAATTTTGGCTGTGTACTTGACAGATTTCACTTACTTCTTACTTTCTTAGTAAGGACAAAGTCAATAACTGAGAATCTTGTATTGAATTTAATTGGGGATGTCAATCCTTTTATCATCATTTGTAAATAAAAATGACTTTTCTTGTCAGTAATGGGCTATTGTGTTTATATGATACACAAATTAATACATGGTTGCTTGTAGATATGAAATTTCCCTTCTCCTGTTCAATGCAACATCTCACTTGTTTGCTGGGCTTACTCATGAGCTATCGAGTTAAACACTTGAGGAGAAATTCCATATCTATGTGTGCCCATGTATTATTTTCTATGTATCTTGTCTTAGAGGCCAGACATAGTGTAACACCTAATTAACCTACAATTTTCCAAGACAAGGAATTATAAAAAAATTTATGTTACCTGTTGATGATCATTTTTAAATTATAACTAAGAAATAATTAATGGATAAAAATCTACTTGCATTTGTGCTCCAACATTTTTATGTATCAAAAAATTGACAACATTTCTTGGACTCTGATACCTCCTAATGCTAATCATTTTGAACATGCTCAAAACATTGCTTGAAACTGGAAGTTATCTCAAACTTTTTCCTGAAAGCTTTCAAGTGTGCTTGAATCTAACTTACCAGCCTCACATTCATCTACTCCCATATCCCCACTGGGCAACGTGATAAAGCGTCTAAATAATAAAAAAAAAAAACTTAATGAAAAAAATTTACATGTATGATCTCCTTTTTTTTTTTATTTCCATGAATATAAATCTTTCACACATAATCAACACAATTTCTTGTTCCTTAATGGTAAACAATGAGAACATAAACGGGTTACAGATCATTGGTTTGGGAGATTTCTGCCTTGTTTTCAGATGAAAAAAAAGTCTATTTCAGGGAATTGTGAAAAAAATTAAGCTTACTTCATGCCATTATTTCAACCTAAAGCTAGTCCAATGGAAAAAAAAACTTTAAAATAATTCTTCTTTCACATTCTTGTAAATAGTTTTCTTTCAAAAAAAATTTCCTCAAACTAATACTAGACATACTTACTTCATTCTCTCCAATAGAATGCAATACAATGCCTGGTAAGTAAGATTTTTTCTTGGAACAGAAACCATGAGAGGAAGTCCAAACAAAGCCTTGTTTGAACTGCTGTAGCTATAACTGGTCAGTCTTGCCCTGAAAAACAATGGAAATCAATGAGGACCTGACTACCAACTGGTAGATAAACGTTAATTTGAACCAATGAGTTGGTGTATTTATGAGTGGCTATTTATAACTTGTGTCGGGTTTGGAGGAAACAATTACATAGGATCATTGGTTCACCACAAAAAGCTTATTTAGATAGATAGATAGATAGATAGATAGATCGATAGATAGATAGATAGATAGATAGATAGTTTATTCACCTTAAGAACTTGCAGCCAAAAGCTGAATTGCGAGAAGGTTTACAAACACGAAATTTCCAGCTTACAAAATTACAACTAATTAATTAATTTCCTAATTAAAAACTGTTACAGAATGACAAAATTACAAGCATACGTCGAATTCCTATGTAAAATAAGAAACAAATTAATATCTAATTATCACCTACGATAAACGTAACTTAAGAGAAAGCTATTCTTGCATCTTTCAGTTTTACGCCCCGGAGGAATAAATGTTCTTTGTTCTCTCAGATAGTAGCCAGGTTGGTATTTGCTTGGAAGTAGTTTATGAAGACTGTGAGATTGATTTGCACATATTTCATTGAACAACTTTGCTGCCATTGCCTCTCTTCTATCATACAGCATTAAAAGTCCAGATATTTCCAGAGCCTTGGCATACAAAAGCTCAGGTTAAATAATCTTCATAGCATGTTTTTGAAGTCTTTCTAGGCCTTTGCTTAAATAACTTGTTAAAGCGTGATGGAAAACTGGGCTGCCGTACTCCAGGGTAGACTGAATGCATGTAATGTAAAATAGAAGAAGCTCTTTTGTGGCGACATGCGATCTCTTCAACTGTCTTAGAAAATATGGTCTTGTAGAAACCTTCCTAACTAGCTCTAACACATGGGCATTCCATTTTAAATCACTACTTATATTGAGTCCTAATAATTTTATACTTTTCACAGTCTCAAGGGTCTGATGGTTAACCCAGATAGGATCAAATTCTGGTTCGTTTTTTGCGAAGCTAATCCTAAGCTCTTTACATTTCCTTTTGTTTAACTGAAAACCTTCATCCCTTGCTTGTATTGCAAGATCGTCTACCATTTGCTGAATACAGCTCTCTTGGCCTTTAGCTATCACCTCTGAAATTGTAGTATCATCCACATATTTCCACATCTCTGCTTCTCCTGCATTCAGATCATTAATCATAATTAAAAATAACCATGGCCCAAGCTTGGTCCCCTGTGGGACACCAGCTGGAATGTAACGCCATTCGGAGAAGCGATCCTCGGCCAGTTTAACTCTCTGTCTTCTATCTGATAAAAAGTCAACAATCCAGCATAATATGTGGTTCGGAATATTGTAATCTAAGAGTTTACGCACTAAGATGTTGTGATCAATAAGATTGAATGCCTTAGGGAAATCTAATAGAACCACCCTAATCACGGTTGAATTCCCATCGGAGCTGACATGCCAGTTATGGATTATGCTAACAAGTGCGTGCGTAGTGCATGATTTAGGCATTGTCCCATATTGTCTTTTACGATTTTCTTTAACACGGCAGGTATCACAAATTCATGAACAATGTAATCTTCTGAAATCTTGGAAAGGATAGGTGTAAGGGAGATAGGGCGAAGGTGCTTATTGATTTCTTGGATAGGTCTTTGCTTGGGGACAGGGACGATATCTGCCTCTTTCCAAGATAAGGGCAAACGGCCTTCATGAAGGGAGGCATTCATGATATCCATGATGGATGGCGCCTAAAGATCCGCATTCTCCTTTAGGAGCCATCCGGGGATACTGTCCGGTCCTTGTGCCTTAGCTGGATTAATAGAGCATAACTTTCTAAAGATAGAAAATGCTGATATTGGTGAGAAATCATCATTCATAGTTCTGCTCAAAGACACAAAATCGTCTCCCCTACATAGATTGTGGGTAAGCGGTTCAAAAACCTCCATTGGGGCCAAGAAAGCTGTGTTGATGTGGTTTGCAAGGTCAGTTGCTGATAGACCGTGAGCACCTTCTAGGACATTATCACGTGACCCCTCCTTTCCACTAAGTTTCTTGATTTCGCCCCACCACTTAGCTGGGGAACACCCCTTTAGATGTTGCACTTTACACTTGTAATACTTCGCATGGCATCTTTTACGTTCTTGGTTAACAAGATTTCTCAGATGGTTAAACTCCGCTTGGTCTCCTAGGCCTAAGGCCACTTGTTGCTTTTGAATCAAGGTCTTAAGGGTTGAATTTATCCATGGTGGTTCTGTTCGGTGGACAATTTTAGGCTTCATCGGTAAGATAGAATCAAGGCCAGTTTTGATGATTGTTTGTGACATCGACAACTTTTCGTTCACAAGTGGTCATAGCTCTGATCATCGCATTAACATCGACTTCATATAAATATGTTTGCATTGCAACACGATTACTTGGTCGAAAGTCCCTTGAAATAACAGTTTGTATTGTTTGCACTGTTTTAACCCTTTGCTTTGGCTGTACTTCAACTGAGCTATGATCTGAAAGACCAAAAGCGGAATGTTCAACTGGGGTGTCGTAGTAATCCTGAAGGTTGGTAAGAATCTTGTCGAGAGTGTTTTGCCCACGAGTAGGAAAATGCACAATCTGCTTCAGTTTGAAGTTTGATTTGAGCCTTGCATTGTTCAGATGGTTAAGGTCACCGAGTACGAGAAAACCGCAATTTGAGTATTTAGACTCCAAGTCCATTAAACACTTAGTCAAATAGTCCAACATCATAGAATTTGTTGCTTTTGGTGGATGATAAACAACACCAACAATAATGCTTGAGATGCCCCTTGGGAGACGAGTCAGGTGCATTTTAATCCACAATACCCCAAAAGAACATTTTTCATCCTCGGGATCCTCCAGAACAGTAAAAGGGATTGATGATTTTATATACATGCACACTCCGCCATGTCTTGCATCTCTTCTGTCCCGTCTAATCAGGTTATACCCATTTATTTTAAGTACAGCAATGATCTTGCAAAGGACCCTATACACCTATGGCAATGATATATGGAGCAGCTATCTTGGCCCAAGGATGTGGAGAAACATCATGTTGAAGTATGGGTTCTCTGACTTGTGAATCATGGCAAGTGACACAAAGATGGCATTGACTAACAAAGTCTTTCATTTGCGAGCTCATTTTGCGTCAGAACATGCATTCTTGCTAATGAGGAGGGCAACAACTAAGTCTAATGTGGCTTGAATGAGCCAGAGCCATGATTTCTTTTCTCAGTGCACTGGGAACAAACCGACAAGAACCAAGGAGAATCAAGTGTCCTTGGATAATCAGTTCCCCACAGAACTGGGAGAAGGGACCAAGGGCTGGATTGCAATTGCAAATGTCGTCTAACTACCCGTTCAAGATGACTTGCCTGAGAGATTTACAGATGTGACCTTGGAAAGATTCATTCTTAATCAGTGCCAGTCAATATAGGGAAATATGCAAGGTCTCAATGTGGTCCACAAGCTCAAGAGACTTTGCCTCCTCACAAGAAGCCATTTCACTTGTACCTAACTTTCAGATTGCAACACTGAAGTCAGAGAAGTATTTGCTGCAGTCTTGCTGAGGCATCACAGAGGCTCTTCTAAGAGATCGCCTCCAAGGGCTTGTGACCTGTTTCCACATGGATTTCATTGCACCCAAAATTATATTGAAATTTCTTGCTGGTGAACACAATGGCACAGAACTCTTTCTCAACTTGGGCATACCTGGTCTCAATATAAGTTAGGATCCTGGAAGCAAAGCTCACTGGTTGCTTTAATTCAAGTAGAGAGGCTAGAGTAGTGATATCCTTGATATTGGCATGGCATAGTTCTCATGAAGATTTGCTTTATTTAGTTCCTTTGGGTCAAGGAATACCTGAATTTTCCTATTCTTTTTGGGGACAACCAACGCTGAGGAGATCCAAGGTGTAGGTTTTGTGACTGGTGCAATGATTCTGTCAGAGTTATATTTGCTTGTATATCATTAACTAGCAATCACATGATTTTTCTTAAGCAATTTGGAATATATCAGCACTCGTGTACTTTTCAGAGACTGAAAATTGCATTTGCCCTATAAGCTTGTGCAGTTTGGATAGAAAAATTTACTCCTGCTGATTTATTCCAAACTGCATGAGAAATGATGTAATTACCTTTACTAACAGTTCCTCATCATAGTCCCAACAACCTTGTGACTTCAGTTTCAGTTTCCATGAATAAATTTTCACCACAACACATCAATACACTGAAGTGTGCATACATGAACAGATAATTTTGGGCAGACCAGGGCCCAGTTGTTCCATAACTGATTAGTGCTAACCTAAGGTTACATTTCAATCAATGTTTTTTTAATTCCTTGTTCAAATGACTATTTGGAATAATTTTCTCGATTCTCTTTAGAGCATCCAATCACAACAGTGTAGACAAAAAGATTATTGTGGATTTTTTTTTTTAAAGCTTTCAGATCTGAAATAAAATTTCACACTGATCCTGGGCTATTTTTACCCATCTTTGAACAAACTGTCCCTGAACAATAGAATTATACATTGTATGAAATGTTTGAGCAAAAGGTTCACCTTTTTTCTCTTTGGTAAACAGGAAGAACAATGTAATCATCTTCATCACTCTCAGGTTTGCTGTGCTGTAGTTCATAGCTTAAAAATGAAAAATAGGCCCCCAAAATAACATTAAAAATAATATAAAAAATCTTAATTCATTTGAGAATGTGTTTGTACAAACAAATCAAACAGATTTTGCAGTGGTAAAGATTAAGCTATTGAAAAATTAAATGGTTTGAGCCTAAAGTACCAGTCACCATGTTGTGTCACTGTTATTTATATGGGTTGTAGTCAATAAGGAATCTTAATACTAGTATATCCTAACATCGCTGATGTGCTTGTTGGGTGGAATACACGACACTTGGTGGGTTATCCACAAAGAGGTGACAAAAGGTACATGAACATGCAGTCAGTCACTTTTGTTTTGCCTTGTGACAATGCAAACCCCTAGGTTAGTAATGGGGTTTAATGGCTCCTCACATTGGCACAACTGTTATTGGTAGGTGTTTTTTCCAACTACCTTGAAAAATTTTTCCTACCTATCTTCCCTGGAGGCTTACTCTAATTTACAAAACGAAACAAAACAAAATGAAATTCTGTAAATTGCAAAATAAAAATCGGTACAAATAGCTGTCATGAAACTTAAGAAAATCAAAGAGCTTGGGTTAGTTCCATTTTCCCAACAAACTTGATATTTTATCAAAAAACAAATTGACACATTTTCCATGTGCATTACCAGTCAGGAAGGTGACTTCAGCACCAGCTAATATTTTAAATTACATTTGCACTTGTAATGGCTTGATGGTGTGAGTCTTACTACACATAAATGACCCATTGATTTATTATAAATGTAGTGGAAATTTCACAAAGAACATCAGGCAGATTTTTCATTTCTCACTTGTGCTAGCTGTTGTTATCATTTGATAGGTTGTTTATGCAATACCCATTTGTGGTGGACTGACCCATTCATTCTTTTGGCCCGTAGAGTTATCCAAAGGGATTCTCATTTCGCAAATTAAAAATTTATATCTTGCAAATTACAGGTTTCTGTTTTGCAAATCATTAACAGATTTCTACTTTGCAAATCATTAACAGATTCCCATTTTGCAAATTACAGCAAGCCTCCCTGGATACAGCATTGCACAAAATCTGGATCAGATCACGGATCAGATCACTGACCAGAACATGGATTAGATGACAGAATGGATGACGGAGTGCATTACAGATCAGATCATTGGTCTAATGGTGGATCGGATCATGTCAACTGAGATAAGAAATTTTGCATGACTACCCAAAATAAAGTCTGTGTAGCATAATGGAGTGCAGGCCCCACTGGGAGTTTTTTTTTTTTTTTTTTTTTTGTACACAACAAAAGTGACTACATGGAGTTTTGGGGCAAAAAATGGGCCTGCACTCCATTTTGTCATGCAGACTTTCTTTTGGCTTGTTATGCAACATCTCAAATTTTCATTGAACACATTTTAATTTTTTCACCCCCCCCCCCCCCCCTCTTTTTTTAAAACTCTTTTCTTTTGTAAACAATTTCCTTGTTTTATTTTTCAAACCTCCTTTTTTTGATCTGTGATCCAATCAAAGAGGTTTTGGACCAAAAAATACTTCCAGAGGGGCCTTCAATCTATTATGTCAAGCAGATCTTATTTTGGCTTGTCACACATGATTTCTTATTTTAGTTAACATGATCCAATCCATGATCCATAATCTGATCTATGATCTGATCCATGATCCGATCTGTGATCTGATCTGGTCTGATCCAGATTTTGTCTATGCCACCCTAGATACAATCAATGAAGTTCAATTCTATCACTAACACAAAAATGTCATCCCTGTCCAGGATTTGAGTCAGCGACTCACTAAGAGAAAACACCTTGTGAAACCTATGATTGTATACATCAGTTACTATCATCTGCAAGACATAAAAGATTCACCTATTAACAATAGTTCACTGCATGGCAAAAAATCCCTCACTTCAGTCATTAGACATGCAAAATAGATATTTGAGGCACAACCTTTACTCTTGGCTCAATCTACATCACTTCAGTCACTTCAGTCATTTGACATGCAAAATACATATTTGAGGCACAACTTTTAGTCTTGGCTAAATCTACATCAGCAAGCCAGCAAATATTACCTTGTCTTTGGGAATATTGGCCTCTTTTGACAAAACAGCCAGTAAATCAGCAACATTACCCATTTTTGGTACTGCTAACTTGTACTATAATTCATAAAGAAGAGATAAATGCTGTAATTGAGATTATGCAACATTAAGATTCCGCTGTGAATACTAGGTACATTTACAATGATACACAATCTTAACTTACTAGTAAGAGATGCTGAAAGACATTTTAATTTCTTAAAATGGTGGAAAAATAGCTGTTAGTCTATTGACTTAAAGCTTGAAAGTTTTGTCATATGGTTCTTACAGACAGTATTCTTAGTAAATTACAATGTGACATGGCCTAGTGATGTACTATAACTGTGAAAAAGAATCTGAGCTCAAGAATGGCAACTTTGGTCAAGAAAATATAGCTTTATTTTTAATTCAAGGATCACCATCTTTGTTTCTTTGTGTGTGTGAAAAAGGCAAAACTGAACGAGAAGAGGATCTTCAATTACAATACCAAAGTAAAGGTTTTAAACTAAGACTATGCCTAAATGTCCTTGGCAACCTTAAAACAAATTTGTTCTTTAAAGGTAATATGTTGAACCCAAGAGAAGATAATTTTTATATATATACTAACAGAAAATGAATTATTTTGAAGGATTGGCAATTTGATAACTACATGTACATTAGAATGTGCATTGGCATGAATGAAATGATGACTAGCATTACTGTCAAAAGACTTCTTTAGCTTTCAAGACTGTATGTTTTGTTTACCCTCTTCAGGTCATGCGATAATGCTCAAGAGAACTGTATGTTTCAAATTTCTTCTTATCCACATACATACATGTATGCAGTTATAATTTACAACATATAAAGCTGGGAGTACCCTTCAGACCTGAATTGGTAAACAAAACATTGTAATAAGAACAATGATTTATCTTGTGGAACAAGAAAAACCAAGTCCCGTTTGAAAAATGGAATACTTCACTTTTGGTTGTAAAATAAGGCAACGAAACTCACCAGGGTAGGTTTCTTAAGAGGATCACTGGGCACCAGAAAAATATCAAGACTTCTCTCCTTCTTGACTGGCAGTGGCAACGATAGGTAGCAGAATGGGTCAAAAGTGACAGACACCTTCAGTAGATAAAAAAACAACACTTTTAAAAACAAATGATTGATGCCTTGTGGGTTTGCTCACAAAATTATTAATGAAAAACAAAATTATTAATGTGTCTTAGATTAGATTATTATTGAAACCATTCACAGGCTCAACGATGCCGTATAACTTGTCCATGGTTTGTTGAAGCCTTTATTTTGTACTGGCACAAACTGGTGTCAAAGTAGTGTGATTTAAAGAAAGATGGTGCCCATGAGAAATCAAACCTAAGAGTTTTGGATCCACACTTGACAGTCTACCACTGTGTGACAGAGAACTCTATGGTGAACTATGTCATTACTTGGTTCATAAGTGAAACAACCTTAAGGTTGCTACAGCCATAGGTTTTGCAATTCTCAGCCTTTTCCAAGGCAAATAGAAATTCCCTTGACCAACTAAATAAACAACTTCTTTATTTTAAGCTTGACAGATCAAAGAAACTTGAATTGCAATCCTTTTAGTTGTTGAATTTTAAAGAATCCACAGGATTTAGGTGGTAAGAGGTAAAACAGATAGTAAATCTTATTGGTTACCATCTGAAAAGGAGAACACCCTTATAAACACCTCCCAAATACTTTTAAGATCAGCAATGCTAAAACGGTTATATGGAATTAAAGAAAATTAAAATGAATGTAAATTTTAAGCTCAGTTACCACATAAAGAAAGATTTCACAGCAAGTAATCTACTTTGGTTTGCTTGTAGGAAGCCTCAGCCTCTTTGCTTGCAATGCACATCTTTCATTTATACAATTGTCAGGGCATTTTAATTGACATTCATAGACTCTCTCTGAATTAAATCATAGCTTAATTACCAGTCTTTCTGATCTTAAGCATATTGCATACAACCTGTCTCAAAATCATTGAAGGACAACTTGATCCACAAATTGTAGAGCACTTATAATTAATCAACCATAATTTCACACAGGCACTAACCTTAACACAATCTGGACAAACCAAAGTTGATTTAAAAAGTCCATGAAATGTATCAACAATGACAGAATTGTTTCTCTGAAGGTGGTTATGCCAGGACTCTTCTGCAACAACCTAAACATTCGCAACACATTTCAAACCTTGTCCAAATACAATCAATTGATGACAATAATGATAAAGATGTTGACACCAAAAAACATATTATGGCAAAAGTGGTTCACTCACAACTCTGTAGATATGATAACTCAGTGTGTTAAATTCATATTTTCCATGTTAGGAGAATTGCAGAGCATTATTTTGTATTAATTTCTAGTATAAGACAAATTGCTATGACAGGAAGTCATCTGTTTCAATTCTCAAGATTCTAAGAGCACTGCTCCTATTTGTTCTAAGAAGACAACACTTTGTCCAAAATATTAGTTTAATGTACAAGTTAGTTTAAATTAGTTGTTTCTCATTGGTCCCCCTAAAATCCTTCCATTTTTCCCATGGGAATGAGAATGTAAAAAAATAAGATTTTTATGGCACTCACTCAGCATGGTGTTTACTTAGGCACTTTAAATTTAGATGATCAACTGTATGAGGGCTGTGCTCTAGCAATTCTGTTGCAGGCCCTTGGCACCTCATGTTTGCACTTGGGCGACTCACAAATTTTACTTTTCTCATAAAAAGCATGTGCTGAGCTCTGGGATTTCACAGTTTCAGAGCACTGGGCTCCCTTAATTTTTTCTTAGAGCATAGACTTGTATACTTTGGGCTCTTAAAAGAAGACCATGTAGAGATATTTTCTTTGTTTACAACACTATCAATAAAAAATTTGTTTTCAGAAATGACAAAACTGTCATAACAGATGGGAAAACTAAAAAACAAAACAAAAGGAAAGGAGTGGATCTTGGTATTACAAATAAAACCAACTTCATCAACATTAACAATTAACAGTAATAAGAAATTATTGTAAAAATATAGCCTTTAAAGTGAGTGAATGTGGTTTCATTCAAAGGGCATAATTACTTAGAATTCCTATGCTAAAGCCCAAGTTTAAAATTTTTTGTGGTCATTGCACTTCCAGAGTTTCTGAGCAGGAGCAGATTATCAGACTCCAACAAACTAAACAAAAGTGCCCTGGAAGGATTTTTGGGTACTGGTTGTGCTTTTTACTAGGTAAGACCATAATTCTTGTCAGCATGTTCTTGGGAAGTTGAAATAATTTTAACTTGAAAAAAAAAAAAGAAAAAAAAGAATGTGAATATCAAAAGTGGTTAGCATTGAATTCATCTTTCTAATCCACTTCAATTTTTTGTTTATCTTGCTTAATTTTACTTCTTGTTCCAAGTTCTCTCTTGACTTGTTAAAATCATTATTATTATTATTATTATTATTATTATTATTATTATTTTAAGCCTGTGGTATTTTTTTAAAATCTAAAATAATAGCTGTGGGATACCAACCACATAACTGATTGCAGGAAAAAAAATGATTGAGATACATTCTCCCTCCTAAAACACACTAATTATAAAAAATACAGAGATGATGATGATGATGATAATAATAATAATAATAATAATAATAACTAATAAATTTGCAAGGGTTAGAAATATCAAAATTTGAGATCTGGTGTGGGATAGCCTCTCTCCAACTATGGGTCAAATAGCATCTTCACCAATATAATTAGTATAAATACAAGGAATTCATACTCTGCATCACTTGTTGCATGGGTTTAAAAGGAGCATGTCCCTCAGTGAGTAGTCAAGCTGAGGTAAAAAAAATTGGCGACTGATTTACCCTCTCAACCTGCAGTGGTGGCCAACCCAACTAAGTCTCTCTCAAAAGGGTCCTTCCACACCAGATTGGGCAGGTACCAACACAAAAAGAACAAATACCAGACAGAAATGGACACAAGAGGATTACATTGAAGTCACGTTCTGCTATCACAAGGCAAAGCACACCCCAGTGAAGGTGTAACAAAAGATACATACAGAATATGGAAGGAAAGTAACCCAAATGAAAGGCCCAATTTAACAGACAACACCAACATATAAACCAACATAGATTTATTGAGAAACAAAACAAACCAACATGGATTGAGCTAGATAGCATGGAGCAATGGATTGAAAATGGATAGACTGTACAAAACAATGAAATAGATAGTGTAGTAGATGATGTGTTTGTAGAAAAGGCCAACAACCTTTATGAGGTAATAAATGTAAATGAGGTAGAACTGTCACAGAACCAATCTGAGATCGAAGATAGTTAAAGAAATTAAGAGGGTAAGGGCTGAATGGGAAAACATCATAATGACAGTGAGGCCCCTTCTACCCATGATATAAGTGAACAGAAAAGTTGAGCTGTTGATCGAACAAGCAAATCAAGCAATTCAGCTGGTAATTGCAGAAGAGGTACCCAACCTCAAAAACATCAACCTGCTAAAATATGTGAATGCATATGTAATATCTAAAAAGATGGGTAAAATGACAAAAATCCCAAGGACAAAAGGCAATAAATGGCAACAACGAATATGGAAGACAAGAATTGAGGATCAGATTAAAAGCATGAGAGCTGAATTGTCAATACTAACAGATACAGAAAGGTGAAACCCAAAAGATCTGCAAGAAAAAAACAAAGAATTAAAAAGTACAAAATAACAACAAACCAAGAAGAGTAAAAGATGCCTGAAAATTCAGGCAAAAGCCCAAAGAATAAGGAGATATGTAAAAAGAAGTAAATGATTCAGTCAAAACCAGATGTTTGCAAATGATAGAAAAAAGTTCTTCAGAAACCTTGATAAGGAACAGATATCAGTTGAAAAACCACCTAAGAAAAAGAAGCAACAGAACAAATTCTGGTGTTCCATCTTGGAGAACAATAGAGAGTACAACCATTCAGCAGAGTGGACAAGTATCTGCATATATCTGTATTCCATTCAGCAGATTGGACTGTATCTGCATATATCTGTATAATTATGCAGATACAGATTACCAACCATGGGAGGATATAAGCCAAGATGAGTTGCAGACTGCTTTAAAGAAAACAAACAACTGGAAGTCACTGGGCCCTGATGTGTTTCCTAACTTCTGGCTCAAACAACTCACAACACTACATCACCACCTGCTGTATAACCAAGTGATAGAAAACCCTGAAAATCTGCCTGATTGATTCACAACAGCACAAACATACTTATTACCAAAGAACAGACACACAGAAAGCCTCATGTAGACACAGTCACCACCAACAAATGGTTGTCATGTAATCTGAAAGGAGAAACAGAGGGACTACTTTTTGCAGCTTGAGACCAGGCAATAAACACCAGAAACTACGAGAAAGTTATTTGCGGCCCGCAAGCGGAGAGCAAATGCAGAATGTGGACATTCAGACAGTGGACCTTATTGTATCTGGATGTGAGGTATTAGCCAAAATGGAATGTGTCGCCAGGCACAATAATGCTGCAGCATGTCTCCATTGAAGCATCTGTAAAGATCATGATATCAAGATTACAGACAAATGGTACCAACATGAACCAGAGACTGTGATGCACAATAAAGACAACAACATCACCACCATATGGGACATGCCAGTCAATACTGACAGAACTATAGCAACAAACAGACCAGAAATCATAGTAATAGATTCAGTGAATTCCACTTGCAAACTGATTGATATGACTGTTCCATTAGATAGAAACATTGCTCTGAAGGAAATGTATAGAAAAGCAAGTACAACGATCTAGAACTAGTGTAGAAATGTAGAGAATGTGGCATATGGAACTGAAGTGATCCCTGTACTTGTTGGTGCTAGTAGTGGAAAACATAAAGAAAGTATCAGAAGCAGCTAATGTGGCAGAGATTCAAAAGATCTGCATGGTGGGATCCATGCAAATCCTAAGAAAGGTGCTTAATTGACTTGAGTGACTGATGCCCTGAGAGCATGGTTTGCACCTGGCTGATGCACAATAAGAACACCAGCAAAGACTGTGATAGACGAGATGATGATAATAATAATAATAATAATAATAATAATAATAATAATAATAACAATAACAACTATAATAATAACAGGATACACATTTATAAAAATTAATACTTATGGTCTTTATCATATTAGCCATAATTGCCAACACTATCATTAATTTATTGCTTAATTACTATCATTATGACTACTATTACTGTGATTATAAGTATCTTGATAATCACATTCATGGTTATAATAATAGCTGTCATGTAATAATCGCCATATAATAAGTTATGTGTACTGGTCTGAGAAAGAACAGTTTCTACAGCACATACATGTATATTTAAAATTTTTCACAAATTTCGCAGCCACTTCAAGGTTTGTGTGTTTCTTGAAACAGAGAAACCTACCCCATCAGGCCTTCCATCTGCATCCTTTAGTTCAACATAAGGCTTCTTCTTAACTCTATTTAGATCTTCATGAAGTCCATCCAAGAGGAAAGCAAGAAGCTCTTGTGAGTCTTGCTGTTGATAGCCAGAAAACTGAGGGGCAAACCGTCCCACCTGCATTTTGAATTGTCTTGGAGCTACTGAGCTATACTGCTCTTTCCACATCTGGTGAAGAAGTCCTGCATATGCATTAGCAATCTCTCCTCTCATTCCCAAAGGGTTATCACGGTTTAATTCCTCTTTATAATTACCAGCTAAGAAGTACTCCGTCAGTGGGACACAGTTGCTTAAGCACTGAAGAGCAGAGTTCATGAAACATGTATTGCCAAGGTTTCCAAGTCCTGTGAGGCCTGGCAAGGAACTTCTCGACTTCAGCCCATCATATCCCCAAGAGCCTCTTGAGCTATAACTACTGTACCTGAGATAACACAGGAATTAAACATTTTTTGGCTGATCATTTCTAATTACAATATAATTCTATACTTTGCTCATCAGAAGACAATCAGAAACACATACAAGCAAAACAAGGAGTATATAAACTTAAAATTACTTTTAATTATTAGCACGTTATTCTTGCGCCCTATATTGAAGTTATCTCAAATAGTGGAACAGTAACATTCAAATTGATACATAACCTTCTTAGTTAACAAGTCTCTGATAATTTCTAGCAATGAATGTTGGTCAGCCATCAGGTTGAAACTCAGGCATGCTGTGCATGCAAGAGTTATTTTTGGATGGGTGGGTTGAGGTTGGACACTGTGTAACCGACGTTTTCATTTTTGTAAAAAAAAAAAAAAAAAAAAAAAAAAAAAAATCTCACTGTGGTCTACTTTGCAGCTCTTGTTTGGTTGTCTCACAACACACTCACTCCCCAGCTGGAGAGAGAGTGCAACATGTGATGACATAAAATAATAGTTGCTGTCATTCCCCAGTCAGAGACTTAATCAATATTATTTGATTTCAGTTGGTTGCATCAAAAATATCACTCTTTGTAATTTTAACCCTTTACATCCTAACATCAGTATGCATATTCCCTATACTGTTTTCTACGCATGTCCTATGGTGCTGACTAGGAGATTTTATCTATCAATCAAGAGGTTCTTTAGTTGGTGATGGTTTCCTTAATTGTTGTGACCTTAATGTTTGATTAAGGGGTGACATTTCAAGGGGAAATTTAGTTCTAATCACTCCTAGGGGTCAAAGGTCAATACAGGAAGCAGATCAGAACTCTTGTTTATCTCCAAAACATCCTAAACAAAGATATGGTGAACTACATTCTTCAAAATAAGTGAAGATACACTGAACGAAAAGAAAAAAGAATCATATTTCAAAGGCTTTCACATGGGCATGACAACAGGGGCCCTTTGTTTGCCTGTCTGGACTTTTCCCCTTGTGTGTGTAGTGGGTTATAGAATGCAGGTTGTTTACAAGGCATTGACATGCGATATGGCAATGAGGTAGCTTAAAGGAAATTTGATAGGTAGAAAATGTCTGAGCAAGTGAGAATTGTGTGGAAAATGAACTTACAGAAAGTATTTTGCTTCATGCAAATTTTTTTGGTAAAGAAGGATAATGATGTATAAGGATGTTTTCTAGAAAATGATATTCAATGAGGAAAGCCTAATCAGTAGCAACAACTAACCATGTAATTGTAGTAGAAAAATACTGCTTCAATAAAAGATGTGTTACAGGATGCAGACAGTAAATATACATTGACAACTTGTAGATATTTTCAACCTTTGCCAAAAGAGCAAACACAAGGCAAATACAGGATTATTGATAAAATATCTTTTATGCAAATGCTTTGAGCAATTTTTATCAGAGTCAGCAAAACTAACACTTCCAAAACAAACACTGCAGAGGTAATTTCATGTCGGGTCCTTCTCAAATGGCATCTGTGTTATATTATAAGAGCTGTAGAAAAAACATGTTTTAACTTCAAAATGGTGAAAAAAAATTGCCTGCTGAACATTCTAATCCTGAAAGATCTCAAACTATAGTGATAGGGGTTGAACCATTGCAGTGAGTACATGAGCCAACAGTTCCTTGTTAATGTCATTCTTAATGTGTGTCAATGTTGGGTTGATTCCACTGCAACATTCACCAGAAGAGTTGTGAGATTAAAAGTCAAATTCTGAAGTCTGGTGCAGCAAAGATGTAAAATGTTCAGAAAACTATTCTCTATTCAACCAGAAAATTGTGTTTTCATTGTAAGTCCAGTGTAGATGGATCATTTATCTCCCATTTAAGGAGATCAAAGAAAGATGTATTATAAAGACAAATGCCATGCACTTAATGCAAGAGCCACTCCAGGTTGCAGCAGATTGATCTTTTATAGCTAAAACTTGCTCAAAGGGTACCTGCAGTAAAGTTGTTTGCATTAAAACTAAATTATCCACTTTAGCTGTAAACATAATTCTGTTAAGGCATGCTTTGATTCGCAAGACTTGAAAAGTGTCAAAAGTAAACCAAGATTCCTTTAGATTTCTTTATTTTGCCCTGTGGAGCATCCAGAAAACTCATGCCATCCTCTAGAGCCATCAGAAAAAAACCAAAACCATTTGTAACTTAGTCACCTGCATTTATCTGCACTTTTGTGAGTTTGCATGTTTTGCATTAAATTCTTATTGGCTTATCATGATGTTAACATTTGTTCTAATTCCCATTGTAATTAAAACCTCAACTGAAATCCATTATATTTAAAAAGGGGATATTAAAAATTACATCAACTACTGACCTGGAGGGATTGGATGATTCAGTACCATGTTCACTATTTAATGTCACCTGTACAAGAAAAACTGCATTTAGGGAAAGAATCATACTTAACAGCAGGTATGTGCACTGATCATTTAATTAACAATAAATATTACATCAGACTGATGTCATAAATAAATTTATTGTTTTTTGAGAGGGCACGGTAACAAATCTTGCAATCTGATTGGTTCTTTACCCGGTCAGTATTTTCCTATCTCTGCCCACGGGCCACGGTAACGCTTTCGTGAGTTGCCGAGTACATCCCAACTTTCGTTGTCATTTTTCATAAACATACCTCGTTTTCCGGCGAAAAAAAAGTGAAAAAAGCGAGCGAAGTTTTAATTTAAGTTCTACAACAAATATACGCTCCTGGTGAGTCTTTCCAATTCTGTTCAATTTGGACATTTGTACCTTAAATTGCACAACAGAAATTGAAGGAATTTTTTGAGAAAAGGCTGCATTACATTCCGTTGTGTCTCGTTGGAGTGTGCCGTTCGAATTTAGTTTTTGTGAAGGAAAGATCAGAGTTAAACATGCCATTACAGCAAACAAACGAGCAAACTCTCACAACTTCAAAATAAAAAAATTGAATTTACTCACAATTACTTTCCTCGCCGTTTACTTAATGAACAGAGGTAAATCTTCGTACATGAATGAATGGTCGATGAGAGTGAATAATACTTTCCGTTAGATCATTAACTGATTTTGAAGAAAACATTGTCGTGACAGTCCTTGCCAAACTAGTTCTGTTGGTTTTCAAATGTTCGTACGCTTTTTTTTTTCTTGCGCGCTCTCTAATTGACAGGTGTCAGATTGTGACAGATACTTGTAAAAATAATGTTTCAAAGTTTGTTTGGAAGCCTTTTAAATCACCTTTATCGTTACGGAAATGAAAATGTTTCGCTGAGGCATCTCTCCTAAATTTGCATCACCTCTATTTTAATTACCATTTACCCACTCCAAAATTGTTCAGTTTATGGAAGATCTTGCCGTATTTACGTCCATAAATCATTCGGGTTCTTTCGGAAAGAATTTCGTCAAGTTTAAAAACAATAAATATGTTATTTCAAGACCTTGGTCACAGTTTTTCACCATACGGACCTCCCAGCCGGCAAATAACATATATGTCTGTTTATGTAATACTGGAAAAAAAGGAAAAAAAAAGAACCATTCTTTTTTGAAAAATTTCTTTTCAACTTACCCCTGATGATGAGGAAGAACTGAAAACAATTGTTGAGAAGAAAACAGTCAGTTGTAGCAGAAATTTTTTTCACAAGATATACACTTGTAATTACATTCTAATATTGCATTTTAAGTAAAGATTACTAATTAAGATAAATTTTTCAATGCTGAATGCTACTCTTCCAGATAACCTTGGTATCAGTATACAAGTCTATGTTGGTCATATAAGAAGAATATACTATTAGGTAACTCACACAAATAAGAGATGTGTACAAGTATACATCACATTATAACATGGCTAGCAAATTCAGGTAGGTATAATCCTATTGTGTATTCTAATGATGTCAGGAGACAAATGCCTCAAGATTGAACATTTTCTTGGTGATTGACAGCAAACTTCCTGACCAGTTTAGCTGCAAGCTTTGAGAATGTCAAGATACTTTTTCTGTTCCATCCTGATCGAGACAGACCTTTAGGAGCTCTAAATGAAATGTAAATCTATGGAAAGATACCTGATTTGGTCTTTTAAGGCTTGAAAGAAATGGAAAGAACTTTTAAGAGAACCAAACTATGATTCCCAAACATGATGGAAAATGAAAACTGAATTTGCTGACAGAAGTGGCCAATTTTGGAGCATTCTCTTGCCTGGTATATTGCCTGGTATATTGCCTGGTATATTGCCTGGTATATTGCCTGGTATATTGCCTGGTATATTGCCTGGTATTTTGTCTCAACTTCACAACAAATAACACAGTAATGTAAACCAAATGAGTTTATTTAATGAAGCCTGCTGAGAACCAACCAGATGTATATATTGCTAGGATCATACATACATGCATACATTCGTAGCTGATATGCCATATACAGTCCTGATCTACAATTAATTCCTTACACATTCAAAAATAGGTATACATCACTAACAGGAGGAACCGCTTACAAGGACACTACTACAGTTATACAGAGGCCAGAAAAAACCTGCCAGAAAAAATCCCTTTGGGAAAAAATACGACAGGAAATCTGGGTAGGAACCATGGCCCAAACTCAGAACAGTTAGTAGTCCATCCTATGAAGCTTCAAAGTTAAACAAATTAAGTTTTCAAACTAAAATAAATTTGGCATCAGCCAAAGGTGCAAGGTTGGTTCCGATGCCTAGATGGATGTCATGTGCTATACTCCCCATTATATACCACTGCATCATTACCCATGATGCTTGGGCCTAAGGCCCAGGCCTTGTTGTATCTCTCACCAACTAAATATTTATTTCTGCCTTATTTTCAGACTCAATTGTCAGAAGTACCAACCAGCACCAACAGCACTAAGTAGAGTACAAATGACACTCAAATGGATTAGAAATGTCCTGCAATATAGTACAGTTACAGTATTTGGCCATTTGGTTATCTTGTATTGTAAAAAAACCTGTTGGACAAGGTGGCTACGCTTGCCTTCCCAGTGCCATATTTAACAATTCTACCATTTTTCTCGGTTCACAGTCTTTAGCTCCTCAAGTACTGACAGGAATTCATGTGATTTTCGCCATGTGATTGAGTCATAATGAAATGTAGTTTTGCAAATTCTTTTTTCTATGCTAAGAGTTCAACCATGTCTTTGAGAGTTTGTTCCCTGGTGGATTCAAAGGTTTGTTACAGGTGATAAATTATTCATCACTTTTCTTTGATAAACAAACACCTTTGTATGTGCAGTACTTTCAAATGTGTACAATTTAAGAACAACTATCATGAATCAAATTCATCTTTAAATCGTTTTGAAACTCTAGGTGACAAGTTGATGTCTCCTAAGCCAATCCAATGTGAGCATTACGCAAGACAAATCTGCTTCTCTGTTTGCTTTGCTTTTCCTGCCTTATAAGAAGTATATAAAAAAAATAACCCAGTTGGATAATGAATAACTTATTGGATGTTTAGGTGTGTAGTATCACTGAGTACTTTTCCTGGTTGTTTGTATATTGACTTGCCTTGCGGGCTTGTTAAAAAAAAAAGGGCACAACTTGTAAAAATGCTCAGCCATACTACACAAAATCATCTAATAAGATATATAAATTGTTGATCAATATGTCCTTGAAGTATTGTGCAATAGAATATTTTGTTTTAATTGTGACAACTTTCAGAATTTCAAATGCAACTCTTCCCAATTTTCTGGCTGTGAAGTTGAGTAAACAACGATTTAAGCATTACGAATCTTTCACAAGGGTCCCATATACACAAAGAAATCTGAGTATTTTCTGTCCTATACACCATATCTGTTATCTATTTCAATAGAGCTTTTGCCTCAAAATATCTCTGTCCTTTATTTGCCTTACCTTTAAGTATGCAGTTATTTGGTAAACCTGACAAATGTGCAAAATGACTTTAAAATGTGATTGTTAAGTATGCACTGTGAACTTTATCTAGAAATTTTCATTTCAAAGTATATTATAACAAAAAAACTATCATTTTTTTTTAGTTTGGGAATAAGTTTTTGAACTGATGTAATTTCATTAGAGCTTGTGTTGGTTAAAAAATGATTTGTTTTAGATTTATTACATGCTGTCTTGCTTAACACTTTTCAGGATTGAAAGAAAACAACATCCAGAATACTGGGTTGACACTATTATAAAACAATTGGCTCATACGTCAGCTGTGCTTTCATGGGGATATGGAGCACTTGGAAAGTTTTAAGAGCAGCTAGAGTTGCTGAACAACTTTTACCCTGTGTGCCTCATATCCCCATGGACGCACACTGACATATGAACCAATTATTAATCGATGAATGCTAAAAAGTAGTATCTGACATGTAGCATCCATTTCCGTTGAGAAATGTGGTTCTAATTTTGTTTCAGGCTTGCACTTTACATCAGTCAGAAGTCCTTTAAAAGTCACTCACAACTGATCTAAACTCAAGAGACTGAGCACAACTTATAAGAGTAAAACACTCATTTATACATGTGAACTGAAAACAAACATCAACTTTGACAGTAGATAGTTTCAATATTATGCAAATTAAGTTCCCTGTGCATTTCTGTCACAGCAACACAGTTGGACAAATACGTCGTTTTCAGAATCACTTTGTTTTAGACAAGAGCTAATATATACAAAAGTTGCCGATCAGATTTTGTGTAGATGGTCCAGTTAATAATGAAGAGGAACCTTAGACTAGGTTAATTACCTTACACTAGGTTACATTTCATGCTTGATATTCTGAAAATGTTTGTGCTCTGGTTTTCAAAAAACCATCGACACCCAGGTCCATCAGCATGTATTGCCAAATATAATAAACATGAAAAGATCATTGCATCAGAGGACAACTTTTGTTCTACATGTCCTTGCTCATTCAGTTACACTACTCCAAATGGACAAGAAAACAGCCGAGGCACACAAGAAAATACATTTGACTAGATTTCACAGTGTATAGTTTTGGTTTGCAATTTAACAGTTTGGCCATTAAGATATTTGAACTGGCTTAGATGTAGACAGGAACTGACAGAAATGTTACACTTTTCTACATGATCAATAAAATGACATACAAGTAACAATTGTAAATGCAATTCTTTTGTAAAAGTTTGACTGTACTGTCAGGGTTTGAGCTAGTATTTGATCACTGGGGGACAATTTGTCCCCTTAGCAAAAATTTTGGAGGACATTTTCATTTTTAGGGGGACAGACAAATTAATTTTTATTCGACATTTTCTTTTTTTACATTCATACTGGCAAGCCGACAAAAACATTTTTTTTACCTGATCCTTGTAAGACTTGTGATACAAGAAAAGTGATACAAAAAAGAAAAGTTGTTATTGATGTCAAATTTCTTTTTCTCGTCATATTTAAACAGAGAATCAATGACTATGCTTTATACTTCAAAACATTACACAGCAGAATCTCGTCCCGGCATCGCATTGTAAACTTCAATTCCTTTCTTAATCACTGGTAAACGTAAATGTACTAATTCTTCAGTTGGTTCTAGCACAAACATCAAGGGCTGTAGAAAAGAGTTGCTGCAGAGTTGAGGTTCTAAAATTTGTACACCCTTCTGCCGTTGCAGAGGGGTTTGTCTTCTTAGATTTCCGACGAAAATAGCAGAACATCGCCTCTTTTTCGTAGCGCAACCATGTGTGATCTCGCGACCAAGTTTTCAGGAAAGTTCGTGATTTTTCGGTTTCCTTCGATCCTCATTCGTTTCTTCCTGATTAATACACTGTTCTTCTTCTGTATCATTTTTCTCTGATTCACTCTGGCTTCGATTCTGAGCGAAAAAGCTTTCTAATGTTCGAACACGTTTTCGATGTGACATGTTACTGCGCTTTTCACAAACATGCGAATTTTGAAGTTCAGAAGCCAATTGACGATTGCGTTTTTCGCTGCCGTCAATCATCTTAACGGAACTCTTAGGAAACAAAACTTTACTTTCACGGGTTCAAAAGGTCATGGTTAGTGATTTGTGATTGGCGGATTTCAATCCGTTTCGTGTGTTTCTGTGTTTCAAGGTTCGTTGCTTGTGATCGTAATTATGATTGAGGGCAGCGAAAAACGTAATTGTGAAGGCGGCTTTTGAACTTTTGAGTTCGCATGTTTGTGAAAAGCGTAGTAAAGATTGCCACGTGCGTTCACCACGCTTGGTTGAGCATGAGACGTACGTGTTCAGTAAAGTGTGACTGAAACGTGACTTTAGAATGAACTTTAAACGTGCAAGAAAATATACTTTCCACGTTCTGTTTTAGCTTGCAATTTCTGTACCGAGATAAAACTCTTCGTGTGTGCTTCCTTTCGAGTTTTTTCCCTAAATTTTGAAGGGGATAAATTGTCCCCTTGACCGTTTTTTTAAGGGACAATTTCAATTGCAGTGCGGGATTGGCGCAATGGCGCGGCCTGGCTCAAACCCTGGTACTGTACATAATGTACATTCTTTGTCTTTATGTCTGTGTACTTGAATGAGCCTTCATTACCTTTTAGATGGATGCTGCCAAGTACCATCCTCCTTCTTTTGTTCTATAATTAGAACCTTAAAAGGAAAAAAAATTATATATATTTAAAAAATACCTGATATGTGAGTTTTGTTTAAACAAAACAAAAATCATATGTATTAAAAAAATACCTGATATGCGAGTTTTGTTTAGGTATGATTTTTCTGGAGATATGCAAAAGCACACATGAAAGTACTGTACAATGTCTTATGATGTCCTATGTTAAGAGGAATTGAATTCTCCATAAAGAACAATGGACAAACCATAGCCTTGGTTCTTTAAGTGCCCATCAAGTAATGCAATCATTACTTTGACACTCACTGGTTCATAGTTAATGCTTTTATTTTTAGTATACAACTACTTAAGGGACTTGATTGGCTACCTGAGTTTCTTAAATCAAATAACCAAAATGCTTGCTTTCTTACCCTTATCTTCATTGAATTACATCTTTTCTGTAATGAATTACCTCTCTTCTGCATTGTGTTACTTGAGAACTGCACTTCTCTTGGCCAATCAGAACCAATACTTTTTTCAAGTGTATCACTGAATAAATCCCTAAAAGTTAATTATTTCACTCAAAAATTATCATACCTGTCCCTGATAAAGGCCAGCATCTTGTACAGTGTATTCCAAATTACTGAGAAGCTCATATGTACTGCTCATGTACTTGTTCCACACTCTTGTTTCAGCATCTTCTGGTATGTTAAATATTGTTTTCATTTCTGACACAAGATGACCTGTTCAGAAATGAATTAACTTCTTTTTTTAAGATACAGCAAACCTTACAAATTGTTGTGATTTCCTGGGCTAGATATGCATATTATTGACCAATGATAAGGTCAAGATGGCTTGATTATTGACCAAGTACTTTTTTAGCTTTATTTTTGTTAGACTGAAATGTTGTCCAAATAGGAGATGCAAGTATTTTTTCAGTGTATGTGTTTTCCACTCACTATGGAAATACTTGTTTTGATAACAATAAGAATTACAATTATTATAATAATAGTAATTTTAGTTTTAGTATCTTAATATAATTACAAGTATAATTATGAAAATTAAATTAGACTGAGCTACAGATGAGTTCTGAAAAATACTTTCCAGACAAAAGAAGCTTGGTCAATATCGGAAAGATATCACAAATCATTAAAGATGAAATACAAATAACTCTAGAGAATTTCCAAGTGAATCACATCACCAAACAAGTGATAGTTTTAATGGTTTTGACCACCTAAAGACTGTAAAGTCTGCCACTCTGGGTGGAAAAAAAACTGTCAGTGAAGTCTTCCTCTTGTAACAAAATAGTAACCCAAAAAGGGTGAAAAATGTAAACCAAAAACCACAACTTCTTCTCCTTTTAGGATCAGAGTAGGCAAAGCAAATCTACAGCAGGCAAGGTAGGCTTATCTTGCCCACTTGTTTGCCAATTAGAGCCCAGGATTTTCCTCATCTTTCCCAGTCATCGAGCAGTCAAATAATATAAAGCAGTAATAAGAATTCAACAAAATCTCCACAAATTCACACAGTCAACCAAGTTCCTTCAATAAATTTCATACAAATCATTGATACTTTAAAAATACTTTTAAAAGCATTATGTTTTTTTGTTTGACAAAAATTAATTAAAGTAACCTTTGGGTGAGCTAGTTATTCAGCTCAAGTAAGAGAAGTATATATTTAGATGACTATAATGTCAACTTACCAACTGTATCTGCCTTGCTGAACTGCCTTGTGACAAATGTTTGGGGATCTGAGTATTTGGAAAGTTTCAAAGCAGTGAGATATACTTCAACCTTACAGCTTTTGACAAACATTCCATGTTCCACAACTTTCCTGGACAGAGTTTGCTGGTCTGAAGTAATTCCATACCATGATACAAGTTTACACCACGAGTCTTTTGGTAGCAGGGTGTAATCAAGCTCATCGATAAGATGTTCTTTCAGAGTGCAACCATCAGCTACAAAGATGATTAATATACAGTATGGTAAAATTGTCACCAGTAAAAAAATATGTACAGCAGTCTCAGAAAAGGAGACAGTTTCTGTTAGTTAAGTAATATCAATGATTTCCCAGAGCAGCCTGAATTACTCTTGAGAGATGACAAATAAAAGCTTTTGTTACAACTTGAACACAAGTGAAGTACTGGTAAAATTAAGGGTACTTCTATTTAAAAAGGAGGGGACCAAGTGGTTCTATGCATATGATTACAGAGGTCCAAAAAATAATTTTTGTGTCATTTTCAACCCAATTTTGATACAACCAAGGCAATGATTAAGCTCTTAAATTTCCATTTCTGAAAAGTAGTTAACTTAATTTGATCACATGCTCTCCATCATCAAGTAGTGAATTAAAGTTTTCCATTTGCCAAAATATTTCTGTTTTTCTAAGCACTACCTCTGAGCTATTCACAAAAAATTTGCAAGTTCACATTGCTTTTCTACAGGAAGAGAGCCAGTAACCAGCAGAATTCATCGCGTACATACAGTATGTCGAGCAAAATCACTGCCTATTTCCTCTGAAATTAACAACATCATTATATACAGAAAAGATCAGACTTCTGTTAGCTGCCACTTTTGCAGTATTTTTTAATTTTATTTTAAAACATATTGGTATTTGGTCTTCTAGGCACAGAGATGGAAAAGAATTAATAAGCTGCAGACAAACAAGCAACAGTATCTCTCCAAGGTGATAAGTGTTATTCATCTCACCAGGACATCATTACCAATTATTTTACGACTAAATTTGTGATGTGACTGGTATACAATAATTGGTGACCCAAGTTGCAATTATTGCCCTGTGACATAATACAGGAAACTCAAAACACAGGTCCAAACATTGGCATCAATGTTGACACATCATGTTTGCTGAGTCCTCTTTATGTGTAGAATAACACTCCTGTTTCTACCATGCCCTAAATCAATGATAAGACCCCCCTTCCCCATTAATTTAAATGCTGCCTGTATGCAGGTTAAAGTTCATGGAATCATTATACAACATTGTTTTGTCCCTGATTGTCTGAACAACAAAGTGAAACATTTCCTTAAGATGAAGTTTCAAGAGAAGTCTGTGGTAATATTATTTTGTCTTCATGTTTACTTTAGACTGATTCAGCTTTAGTATGGGCACCACTCAATACAGTCGGCAGTTAGTGTCTTTTATGTAGCCATCTATATATAAAAAACACCCAGTTGAGTTGCTGGGCTCAAAAACTTTTGATAACATGGTTTTTCAGGGGAAAATCTGTGGACAAACATATGCACTTGTGCACATTACACAAAATCTTGAAGGCCTGGCACAAACAAAAATTGAGCAGAAGTTTGGCATTTTTTTGGCTTTTTGCAATTCACTGTTCATAGGATTTTAAATGAGATAAAAAGAACAAAACGTTGACACCTCATGTACAACTTGTTCATTTCATCATATTTCTCTTTCAAATTTGAACTAAAATTTGAATTTAAGATTCACAGAAATTCTGGTAATATCATAAAATATATCTTAGTGGCTCCCATTACTCTTACATCATGTTTATCAGTGATAAGGATAAAGTAATGAATAAACCAATGAAACCAGATGATATGTTACAAACTTCATTTTTCCTCCAAATATTAAGCTCTACAGGTTTGGTTTGGTTTTGTTTTGTCATTAAAGAATAATATGATGGTAAGAAATATGTCTCAGACAATTAGTGTCACAATTAATTGACACATTATGTTTGAAGAGTCCTACTAATGTGTGGAATAACACTCCTGTTTCTACCACTTTCTAAATCATTGACAGGACCTCACTCCCCAATTCAACGTTGCCTGTATGTAACAAAGTGATAGGCTAACTTAGCAAGGGTAAAAGAGATAAAATTGAAGTCATAGGGGGTTGAAAAGGTCAATGTGTCAACAATTTTGTTGCTGATTGAAGGTTACAGTTTGTTTTAAATGTGATACATTTAAACAGTAAGGTATACAGGTTCCTATTTATCAAACACTTTATTAAACTCTAGAAACAGCAGCCACTAAAAGCAAGATACTAAAAGTCAAGGAAAAGCAGAGTTTAGAGTGCTTTTATACCAATTTATTTGTGACTGAAAAAATCCACCTATAAGACTAGAACAATAATTTAAAAATAAGTTTAATTTATGTCTCTAAATTTTTTGATTTATAAATAATTTATAAAAATAGTTTATAAATTATAGGGTATGAATTGAGTCCCTATATAAGAGGTGTTTTGTTCTCTTCCTTCCTACAAAAATAATGTACAACCAAACTCTATTCTCCTTTTTTGAAATACCAAGAAAACAAAAAGACATCATCAACACACATAAGACAAAGGTCAAACCCCTTAAAATATTGTTTCTTACCTTCAAAAAGACTTGAATTATCTATGGGACCAGGATTATTCAATTCTTGTCCAACTTCAAATTTATCCCATGAATCATACCCAGCAAACTTCTTCCACTGCTTAAACCAGTGACTATCAACAAGAAACCTACAAAAAAAATCAAGACAATTAAGCCTTGTGTGACCTGAAAAGGAGAAGCCTATTAAAAAGTGGTATTTGAAGGACTACTGGAAGGATCATCTCTCTGTTTTGAGCTGATTTTTGGCCAGTCAGTTTCAAACCAAGTTCTTTGCTACTGCATCAACTCCCATCATCAAAATGGTGCTCATTTTAAGCAAGTCATAATACTTGATAAGAATTTCAGATGGGCAATATACAATAATTCATTTTATAATACATATATATATATATATATATATATATATATATATATATATATATGTATATACATATATATATATATATATTGTATACAATGCATTATGCACACTTCAATGATGGGGTTCTGCCAGAGAAACAACACTTAGACAGTAAGTTCTTATTCTTCTCTGTCCAATTCCTTTTTTTCAGTTTGCTTGAAAAAGTTGCTTGTGCTTAATATAGTTAATTTCAGGGAAGTCTGTTTTAGCCAGTGTACAAGCTGGAAATCCTCTTCTTCTTCCAGAGTTGATTGTTGATCATTGTACATTGTTGGCTGTAGTTCACATTTTTGATCTACAAAGTGCAGCCATCTTCTGCTAGCATGTGTGAAGCACGTTTGCCACTTGTGCATAATCGGAACTTACATAAATTTTACAGAAGAGGAGTGATCATTTGAAAGCTATAGAGAGTCATTTAGGTCAATGGACTGTAAACTGCTCTTGTTTACATTAATATTGTCTGCTTTTTTCTGATCCTTTTACATTCTAAGACAAGAGAACAAACCGAAATACTGCATTTTCGCATAAAAAGTAAACATCTAACCTGGATGCACTTTTTAAAACCATGTAGAAGCACAGTTGTAAATGAATGTTGCTTGGTGTTATGTTTATAAATACGAGAGGCATTACTCACTGCACTGCTATGGATATCCATAATTCGTTCACTGTGTGTTCTAAAGATCGTTCGCAGCTGAAGATACAGTTTTAAAACCCCAAAAAATGCAGACTAGTCACAGGTGTTAACTTCTACTCTCTTTTCACTATTGCACTACGCATTCTGTCAAAGGTAACTTGCGAATCAAGTCTTCAAATTAGTGGGCTTATCTGTTCTTGAAAACTAGGAGTTGAAATTGAACAATTTTTTCTATTCTGGTCAAAGTAGTACTTACACCACTTTCACTTCCGTTTAGAGCTGCCGCAGAAACCATACGTTAATAAAAAACCATTTCCACTGAAACTTACCAGATATCACCTTTAACTAAAGGCTTATTCATAGCCTCTGCTATTTCCTTTTTCTGATTCTCTAAGTCTGGTGAAGACTCGATTGGATCACTGTTATCACCAACGCCGGCCATGTTGAAAGTGAAGTTATGCAAAGTCATGCCCAGTTCCAAAAAAATTCCTCAGTATTTGAATGAGTAGTGGGGGAGGGGGTTGGGAATAGCGAACAGAGAAGTTTGACACGATGGGACGCTCCTCTAAAGATAAACGAGATATTTACTATAGACTAGCAAAGGAAGATGGCTGGAGGGCTAGAAGTGCATTTAAATTGTTACAACTCAACGATGATTTTGATCTGTTTAATGGTGTTAGTCGTGTCGTGGATTTGTGTGCGGCCCCGGGGAGCTGGAGTCAAGTACTAAGCAGAAAATTGATCGACGAACGTTCAGAAAACAAAGGCAAAGTAAAAATTGTGGCCGTTGATCTACAAGCCATGGCTCCTCTTCCCGGAGTTATTCAGATACAGGGTGATATCACTAAAGTAAGACATGTCTAAGTTTTTGTCGTTGTTACTTTCACATTCAATATCTGAAACAATTACGCAAAATGACGTCATCAGAATTTTTTTCCCAAATATCCACTTCATGTCCAGTCTATACACTATGCAATTTAAAGTGCAAACAAGGTTTGAATTTTCTAATGTGCTTGTAGCATTGTTTCTCAGTAATATGGCTGCCAAGCAGCGCTACCATAGATCGTTTAAAACAAAGGAGACAACCATAGCAAGATTAAGTTCCATTAACAATAATGTTTGGCATTCAGCTCAGGTCTAGAGGAAAATGAATGTCTTGATTGAGGAAGAAAGCAAAAAGATTGAGAATCAGGAGATTTGCCCTCAGAAAAAAATCCTATAGAGTGAAAATTCTCACAAACAGTTGAATTTGGAATCAGAATTTGTTCTGTGGATTGTATTGTTTTTTGGTTACCCTTGGTTGTTGTGTATTTGACCTTGTTCTTAGCTTTTTAGATATATAGAAAGGATGCAAGGCTTTTCTAGCCTGTAGATTATACTGGCATGGTAAAGTTCTGCTTGAAGATAACTTTCTCAAACACAACCAAAGATAGCAAAAATTTAGATCCTATTTACATACAGTTCAGGTGATTGCTGGTCACATGCAGTGAGTTTTACTGGGGCACCCTTTAAGTAACTGGAATTTGCAGTTCAATAAACTAACATAAGATCAGCAAATAGCAAGAAGAAATAACATGGATTTCTGCATTTGTATATCCAAATTTACCTCACCTCAAGCACACTTCAAAGCAAGTCAAATAATCTGAAAGATTGAACTATGTTTATAACATCATGTTAACAACATAAGCTTGAAATCAAGTGTGGTTTTTCTTACAATGTGGTCACCTCAAGTGTGGATTGTGTGTTTTTATCAGAAAACAAATGAAAAGTTCTTGTTGAATGAGACAAAAAGTCCACGGGTGAGGTAACAAATCCAATCTTACCAATGTGGCAACCAAAGTGTTGACCAACACCTCAGCTGACACACTACCCATGTGTTGACCAATCTGTTGACCATCATATTAGCTAACACCCTACTGACACACTACCCATGCATTGACCAATGTGTTGACAGATATAAGTCAAGATAATTTTTTTTGTCACAGAACAGGGTACAAAACATAAATACCATTCTTCCTGATGACTCTCCCTACAGTGTGACCAATTTTCTGCTGCCTCTTTTGGTTAATATAGGGGAAAAAGTATTGTTACAGTCAAGGCTTTAGGAAAATTTCTTAACTTTTTAACTGGCAGAGTATAACTTGGTATTATTTTGGCTTTACAACATGATTGTTTTCTGCAACTACAAATGATCTGTCTCTATATGAGTTATTAAAGTTGTTTCACCACTGACCACTCACAGTTAAGCCTATTTTCCTTTCCTGGCTCAATGCCCATGATGTAGTAACCCTTCTAATGTGTTGACCAGTACATTGGTGGACACTCTACCGACACACTACTGATGTGTCAGCCAAGGTGTTGACCAACATACTATTGATGCTGAGTGGGAAGGAATAAAACGCAGGAAACACTGAGGTATCACCTGGTATCGAAGCTCAAATTTTGGGAAAAAAAGTTTCTCAGAGAAATTGAAGTGAACTCATGAGAAAGACTGATTCAAAGTTTTGATGTAACATTCAGTAAAGCCAGCGAATGATCATTTGACTCTTTATATTCAACAAAACAGAACTTGAAATTATGATATATGTTTTCCTCAATACTTTTGGGAAGTACATTTTCATTCAAGGTGTTCTTTTGACTGCAAACAAGCAATCAACAATCACGAAGCTTAGTAACTAGGCAATAGAGGAAGTTAAGTCGACACAAGGATTGCCTAATGATCTCACAGGAAAAAAGTGTGGCTTATACACAGGTGATTAAGGTGTATATATATTGTATATGTTCTTTAACAGCTGACCACTGGCTCTCTCAAATTTGTTTGCCTGTGGTTTTGGCTGGTTTTGCAGCTCTCCCAGTTGTGCCTCTAAGGCTTGGTTCCATTCTTCTCTCTCTCTGATGTCTTGCCTGTAGTTGACGATGCACATTTCTCTCTCTCTTACAAACTCAGTTATTTCTTCTGCACTTTTTGAGCTTGCTCTAAGAGCTGGCTACTTTGTTTGAGGGCTTCAAATATACCCCTCAGATCCTGGTAGGCCTTGTTAAGTTGGTTCTGCTGTAATTGCTCATTATAAGTGTCTTGTACTCAGACACTGGGGTTGAGTTGGACAAGTTTGTGTGGTTCAAGAACTTTTCAGGCTAGAAGTGGTCTTTTAGCTGCAGGGGGAGATCACGGAGCAGTTTCCTCTACAATAATGAATCACTTATTACAAAGAAATAGCTCCTTTAGGAGCTGCTAAACACCACAAAATAAGACTAATGAAGTCTACCTCTGTGTTCAATAGACTTTCTTAGTTTATAGCAGACACCTTTGAGACCATCATTTGGTTTTCACAAAACTTTGAGCCTTTTGTGACATAGCCTGCTAGAAATACATGTGAACCCACTTTAAGATTTTGCATCACTGAAATTAAATGATTTCTTAAGGGCCTACAACCAATTTTTTTTCTCTGGGTACCACAGAAAATATGGATCATGTTTACTGTAGGTACTTGTGACTAATCTAGTGGTTGATATATCGGTCTAGAGTCAGTTGATACTTGACTGATATCTCGGTTAACAGTCAATCAACTGTTGTTCTACAGTCTGTCGACAGTCAGTCAACAGTCGGTTGACAGTTGGCCTATAGTCAGTTGCTAGTCCGTCAATAATTAAGTCAATAGTCGATCAATATAGTGACCAACTACAGGTTGAGAGTCGGTCATATCTCTGTGGTGCATCGGTCAACTTTCGGTGATATATCAGTCAGCAGTTGGTGGTATATCAGTCTGCTGTCAGTGGTATATCGGTCAGCTGTTGGTTGAATATCAGTGTTGAGTATTGATCAGGTGTGTTAATTTAGCAGTCCAATGGCTTTCTTTTTAAGTGATGACATCATCAATTAATGCTTTCATGCGATGAGGGAAAATGTTTCAGTGTGAGTCTAGACTGTGAGTCTTTTGCTGGAGAATCTGTGGGGAAGAATGCAAAACAAGTTAGTGAGCGAGTGTTACTCTAGTATTTGATTGTGAACGGAGTGTCGACTATTGACCAGGGCCAATCAATTAGTGACCAATACTCAGTGAATTGTCAGCGAGGTATTGGTGAAATATTGGCAAAGTATCGGTGACCTAAAAGCCATATCAGCCGGCATACATATTGACCATATATTGACCAACTGTCAACCAACTGTCTTAATTGGAAATATATCGATATTTCGGTCGATGTATCAGTCGAGAGTACCTACACTAAATATGATCCACAAATACCAGTGATAGAGGAAAATTTTGTGTTGGGATAATTTTTTAGATTTTTTTTCTTATTTGTAGGTTAGGTAAGGGTTTTAAATACTCTATGTAATACCAGTCTAAACTGAAAGGAAAGAGTTGACTGTATCTAACTCATTCAGCCTGCTCACTCTAGTGTTATAAATAGTGGATGATATTATTGTGGTAATGCATCACAAATGTGTGTTCATTTTTTCAGTGAAATATGGAAATTTCTCTATGAACTTACATGCAATATTCTTTGCATCTTTTTATTGATCTAGATATCAACTGCCCATGAGATAATTAGCTACTTTGAAGGAGAGGAAGCTGATTTGGTGATATGTGATGGGGCTCCAGATGTTACTGGTCTCCATGACATTGATGAATACATCCAAGGACAGCTCTTACTTGCTGCACTCAATATTACCAGTCATCTCCTAAAGCATGGGGGAGTTTTTGTGGCCAAAATTTTCAGAGGAAAAGATGTTGACATTCTGTACAGTCAATTGAAGGTGTTCTTCTCTACTGTGACTATATGTAAGCCACGGAGCAGTCGAAATTCAAGCATTGAATCTTTTGTTGTGTGTCAGAATTATTCTCCTCCCATTGGTTATGTGCCAATAATGTGCAATCCTCTCCTTGTTGACCCAAACCAGTTCAAAAGGTTGGTGCTTGTCAGTTTTTTTGTATATCTTAGCTACCTTTCCAAAAGTCCCAATCACTTGTCTACTTTAAAATGGTCTTTGACAAACAAGTTTTCTGGACAATCAAACCCAAATTCTTGTGGTGAAATTATTAAAACTGAAACACAGTTTTAATGGAGTAAGGTGATTTTATTACATGTAAGTGATGAAAACGAGTTGGTGCTTTTAAACCAGACCTCTCCTTCAAACCCCTTTATAGCCTACAAAACTGTGACTGGGTGGCCATGAATGTTGCTGAAAATTGATTGTTGGAAACTGTGCTTAAAAGGCTAGTCACCAGTGGGCAACCAACTTGATGTATTGTCAATTATCAAACCAGTGCTTGAGATATTAATAAATTTTAGTTCATATTATAAAAATAGTCAAGTGTGATTTCCAAGAAGTTATTTATTTATAATGAAAGTTTTTAACCTCCAGGGAAAATAATCAGGTTGGAGAACAAAGGTGTGATTCATATTAACCTGCTGGCAGGCACTGTCTTTGTCATTTAGGAGCCACCATATT